GGTGCAATTGACATTCGAAAAAAATTTTAAGTAGTGTTCATAGCAAGGTACATTGAACAGGTAGTATCAGTAGAGCATCTGATTTGATTTATTTTCAAATTATTTGGTCTCGAAAATGTCAAATATTTTTAATTTTTTCTCACGAAAATTATAAGTTGTTAAAATCCATTTGCTTGTGAAACCTTTTTCCATACAAAACAAGCGATTGAATAGCAGCTTTTGGAACGTTCGCCCAACTCGGCAGCACGACCGCTGATTACTGGGCCTTGCAAAGGATGAATCAATGCTTCGAGAAGCAAACAAATTTACTAGGAAAGAAAGTTGCATCAATTTTTATTTTTTCCAATTTCAATTTTTTATTTTTTATAATTTTTTGTATTTCACATGGCACGCTTTGATTTAGAAGAAAAAATTCAGAACAGTTGTTGACACTTTCGATACCAGAAGCAACAACAAAATACACGCAAATGTTGTTTTTGCTCTACTGATACTACCTGTTTAATGTGCCTTGGTTCATAGTTTTGAACAATGTTTCGCCATAGAAAAAAAAAATTAATTTACATCTAATTTTTTTAATACACCTACGGCACTGACTGATGCTTTGTATTTTGACGTTTTTGAATGCTCCCATTATTTTGATGTTTTTTTTTTAAAGAAGATCCTAATCTGACTGAGGAGATACATTTTAGAAAAAAAGGAGATTTATTTCGGTGAACTCTAGGTGTGGATTAAAATAAGTTGGCGGCACTGGTTCTACTTTGAAATCTTTTCATTGTAAAAGTCAGTCATTAACGAAATTTATTCTTCATTTAATTTTCGCTATATCCCCAGGGGATTGTCAGAATAGATGGTTCTTAATAAAATTCTATTTTGAAGTCTTACGTAGAACTTTCAAACTTCTAGCTGCCATTTCTTCAAAGGAAAAAAGAACCGGTCTTCTGGGAGTTACTGGTTTAAATTTTATTTTAGGTCCAAGAAGAAAACCTTTGAGTTAGATTTATTTGAGTTTAATTTTTGGAGAAAAAGGGTCCAAATTTGAACCCACTTTAAAAAAAGTGATGAGACTGAGCAAAATTCTAGTAGGTAGTTGGAAATACAAGTATTTTTGGAGTACTTCTATATGTACAATTACTTCGAAGTACTTGTTAAATTACTTATTATATGATAAGTTGAAGTACTATCTGTTTACATTTAAGTATACAGGTTCTTGTTTTTATATAAGATATTTTCCAGGGGGTCAGATTTTAAAGTTGATAACTCCATTGTTGGTTGTCCAGGTTTTAAAACATACATATTTTAATAAAAAATGCAAAAACCTGTTTTCTTGAAAATAAAGTTTGTAAACTATTTGTAAACTAGTGTAATCTACTAGTTCAGTCCACGATTAACTTCTTGTCTATTTAGGTTTTGATTAAGATTTTATATTTAGCAGATTATAGATATACATTCATACATAAATACATACCAGGGTACGAACTTTTTTTACTCTTGGTTCTACACATTGTGCAAGTTTAGCAATTTTTGCAGAAAGTAACAGAAACAACAAAAACAACAACTTATGTTTATTTTTTTAGACGTTTTTAATAAAAGTTTGTCAGCGCTTATAAATGTACATATATTAAAATCCCTACCCCACCATTTATGAATAAAAATCACATCCTTATGTAAATAAATACAGCTTAGTTATTAATTAAATTATAAAGACTCGATAATATTTTTGCATATAATAATATTTCTCGATAGTATTTAAAAATATAAAATATTTGCCAATACTAAAACAACAAGAGTAATTGATTTCAAAAATGCAAGAAACTGTAAAATAAGCTTTAAGTACAGACTACAGGCAGGGGCGCAGAAAAGGTAATAAAAAGTATTAAATTTTTTTATTTGATATATTGAGATAAAGCTGCACAACATTTTATTTTTTATTTAAGAAACATGATTCGGAGGTATGTAAGTAGTACTTGGTGAAGTTGTAACAATTATTTGAAATAAGTAACAGCCACGTTTAAGTACCTAAGGCTTATTACGCACCGTCCTAAGCAAAATATTTACCTGTTTTATAAAAATTAAGTTTTGATATTTAAGAAAACCCTTCCGTGTGCGTTCCTGTGCTCTACACCTGAGATCTTGAGAACATATCGTATCCAATTCATAATATCGGTGGACTGTTACCCAAATTTAAGCTTAGCAGGGTTTTGCCAAAAGTTTTAGCTTAGTAGGGTTTTGACCATCCTGTTAGTGCGGGACAGATGGCCGTTTGGCAATCTGATAAGTTAAGTAGAATGAATTTTTTTTAATCTGGTTTTATGGTTCCGCTTGGCGTAGGTTAAGATTGCTAATGATTCAACCAAGCATTGTATGTATCTGGGACAAAAAAAAGCAAATGGCTTTGCTGATTGCGCCCATCAGAGAGGAATTTTGTGAATAATTTTTGCGTGACGTCACACTGGTGCAGCTGCGAGAGAGAAATGCTAAAATGCCAAGAATGATAGAATACAAGATTGCGCCAATCGAGCTGAGAGCAACCTGCCGTGACGTCAAAATATACCAGAATGAGAGAGCAAGACGAACTCGACAAGAAAAAGAAGAAGCATCGAACAAAAGGCAGTATTGCCAAGTTTTGAATTTGAAAAAGCACCAAATTTTTATTGGTGTATTTTATGGACTTTATATGAATACATAATTTTATTGTAAGGATGCCGATTCAAATTAATAAAAATCAATGTTTCTTACACAACGGTCCATTTCTTCTGGCGTGATTGAAGGTGCTGCACACATTTCGATGTCGCTTATGATTGTCACTGTGCCATGATTTTGTTTAAATTTTTGTAAAATTGCTTAGCACACTTACGATTGCTATAAATTTTGCTTCCATTTTTTTAAGATTTTCTAATTTGAAGTCTTCAAACTAAAAACAAAAGCACCAAAAACGCAACAAGCACAAAACTCAAAAATTTTCGCGATTTGAATACCCACTAAATTTAGTGAGAAAAGCATAAAGTTGGCAACCGTGAATATAAACAAAAGTATATTATGACGTCAGCGATAGGGTGGATGCTGTCAAATCGACGAAGAGAGGGTTAGCGGTCTGCGAATGGCGCGACCTTTATTTTCTGGATCGTGCTAAAACGCGAACAAGAATTAAAGAAGAAATTTTGCATGAAAAACGTAAACAAGTTCGACAAGTGTGACGTCATACAAAGAGCGATTCTGTCAAATTAACTGAGAGCGGAATATCGGTACCGAGATGGCCGCCACCTTTGTTCTCTACATCGTGTATTGTAGCCACTCGCAATGAGACTTCAAGCATTTGATCGCAAATAGAAAGTTGCAACTGGACGATGAAGCTGCAAAAGCTATATGCCAATTAAAAAATCAGCTTGAACTTGAAGAAATCCGAACAGGTTGGCGTTCATTAGGGCAAATTTGGGCTGTTTGATAGTAGGCATTACAAAGCTTTAAAAAAGGATTGATTTTGAAAGAAAGGTTAGAAATTTGAAAGGAGATATATATTTACTATATTTAAAAACATGACAGCTGATATTGAAGATATATTATTTACTCCCCAACAAATATATTATTTTGTCCAACTACATCTACAGATGTGGCAAGGAATTTTTCAATAAACTTATTTAAATGACCAGAGAAGGTATTTTTTATTGAAAATTTAAAAAAGTATGTAATATGCAATATGTTATTACTGAATAAAAATATTGAAAGATTGAACTAAATTTTAATTGATTTAGCACATTTAGAGCTTTTTAAAGAGCTAAAAATTATTTTTTATGCATATTTTTGCCTGCCCTGGTGACAAGGTACTTAAGCGTGGGTTCTTAAAATAAACTTAATACACAAGCTAGCTTAAGTATTGAAGGAAACTACAAAAATAATTTAAAGTTTTTAGAAAATACTGCAAAAGTTTAAAATTGTGAAGAACATTTTTTTCTACGGCCCTTAATATCGTACCGACCAATAGTCAAGTGCTTAAACGAAAGAAGTATGTGTTTTTGGACCACCCAGCGATTAAAAAAAAATTGCGTAACAATTAAATACACATACAACTTATAGAATATTTTGTTTCAATAAATTTAACTTTTCGTTGCAATTTCCGCTTTCTGATCTTTACTTTACTCAGCCACGTTTATTTCATCTTTATTGTTTGCGTTAAATGCCACAGGCATAAAGAGTTTTATGAGAATGCGTAAAAACTAATTAGTGGTCTGACAAACATAGATAGATATACTTAGCAGAATTTATAGAAGCAATCATTTGGATATGCAATTGAAATACATTTATACTTGTGAATGCATTGTAACATAATCTCGAAAGCGATGATGTGATATTTTTTTTTTTTTAATGAAATGTGACAACATGAAAAATTATAACTAACAAAAATAAAAAACGTAATAATTTGTATAAGCAACTGCACTTTCTACTCGTAATCGTATAAATATGTATATGGTCACTTTAGCCGGTGTCTGTCAAAGTCAAACGTTTTTTCTTGAATAAAAATTATAAACACATAAAATCAAAACTAACAATTTATGCAATTTAAGTGTCTTTTCTACTACTACTAAGCATATTTTATTTTCCAGCTATTTTCTGTTCAACTTATAAGTTTATTTATATATGATGTAAACATTTCAAATAACTATTTATCAATTCGCACTTTTTTTAATAAATCGGCATTAATAAATCAAAAGAAAAAATTAGAAAAAATTACCTACTTAGCAAGACAGCGAAAAAATTGATATTGATAGAGACATACAACTCTGAATCAGTGGCTAATTTGAAACAAAAATAACTAAATATATTTATTTTTACTAATTTTCCAAATTAAATATTTTTTAATTTTTTACTGAATTTATTTTCTCAAAATTATGTACATTTCCATTAGTTTTATGAATCGAAATTTCAAACTTAAGTTTAGTTTTTTTTTTTCTGTAATGGTCTGCTGTGGTAAATGTGAAGTCTTTATGTTATATTTGTTGCTATAGATGCTCGCCCTGCTTCCCCTACACTGTTAGACAACACGGGCCTCCCTGCCCCCGATCACCAAACGCAGGTAAATACTCTTTCTATTTTTTAACGAAAAACGCATTCTTCTCTACGTTCGTTCGTTCTGTTTCGTTTTCTTGTCTTATTTATTAAGCAAAGAACATATATATAAATACTTATATAGAAACATAACCAAAAGAAATATATATATATATATATATATGTATATGTATATATATACATTACTTTGCCAGTACTCTATCACCATTCCCTTCTCTTTACTCCACCAAACCAATTTCTGCTATCTCTTTTAACTATAAATATTTTATTTGAAGTAATTTATTTGGATTGTTTTTCTACTTTAAGTTCATTTGATTTAGTTTAAGTTGGTGTTTTGAAAAAAAAATTGCCAATCTTTTATTAATGTTCTCTAGAACTGGAAAAAAGTTTCCAATTGCAAAATTTGATAAAAAAATATTTTTTCAATGTCGAGCTATCAAGCTATTCAATCGATAATACGGTTTTTTAGTTGATTTTGTCACCTAATATCGAGTGAGCGAAATAACTCCTTATCTTAAATTTTGTACGAGTTTGAAAGTTTAAACAAAAACCGTTGAAATATGATTAAATACTTTATATTAGCAAAAAATAAATATTCATGAATTTTTAGTAGTTGATAAGAAATGTAACCTAATCAGACAATTATATATTATTGTTAGTTTTCCTAAAACAAATTTATTTAAAAAAAAAGTGAATTGCAAACAGTTTTTTAACGCCTAATGAAATGTGAAAGCAATGTACATATGTCTAAATCTTAGTAGTTTAAAATTTTACGTCTTTGTACTAATAAATAATTCTAAATGTTGACATAAAGTATTTTGAAACTTTAGTACTTTTTAGTTTTGATATAAAATTTTGAATAGTTAAAAATACTAAACTTTAGTTCCCTAAAAATTTGTTTAAGGTATCTTTTAGTATTACATACTAAAATTTAAAAACTTGAGTACCTTAAAATTTAGTGCAAAAACGGTAATTTAAAATTTGAAAATGTTAGTATAAAAATTTTACTAAATGTTAACAAAGCGGTATGCAATGGACGGCGCTAAACTTTCCTCTGCACGAAAAGTTTTAGGATGTTATCCGCGAGTATTTATTTTTTGGCAACTACTAAACTATAGTTTCGTCCGGAACAGCTTTAAAATAAATCAAAATAAGTCTTATATTTGGCAATTTTTTCAAGCTCGCGTTTTTAAAACGTTCGCCATGAATTTATTTCCAAACTAATTTTCCAATTTAAAAATAATTTTTTTTAATTTCTTTTATTTAATTTTTTTTAATTTTTTTATGGCATATCGTCGTTCATCAAGCTACAGTTTCACAATTTCTCAACTCAATTTACAGCACAATAATACGAAATTGACTTAATAGTCAAATAGTCAAATTAGCGAACAAATCAAATAATTAAATCATCATACAAAAATTGGACAAAGAAAACTTTGATATAAAATAAACAACTCGATAAATCAATCAAGCATCTACTATATACAGAGATATTTATGAAAATATAAAAAACGTATCAATCAATCAATACCGTCATATTGTCAGTATACTTATATATACTTATATATTCAGCAAACAATAAACTTAAATATCAAAAAAAAACAACTTTATGTATAGCTAGCAACATTTTGAACAAAACTCTTGTAGTTACCATTACCAAATATATTCGTAACATATTTTCTACCTTAGTACTCGTATTAGTTGAAGAAATAACAACAAAATAAAACAAAATAAACTAAATATATACTGTATCCAACGCCAATGCACTTTAGTACTCTTTTACATTTTTGTGCATTTAAAAAAAGTGTTTGTTAGATTCGTTTCCATTTAAGTTCACAGTTTTGTTTTATAATTTTCCATTTTATTTACTTACATATTTCTGCCACTAAAAATATTTCTCTTCCCATTTTTTGCTTTACAAAGAAAGAAGTAACTAAATCTATAAGTTCTCTTAGCTTTTTAAAAATCACTGTTCACAATGCATAAATGTTTCGTATCCTGTGCCGTTAAGAAGTTTGTAGCTTCATCAACGTAGCCCTTAACTCTAAAGATCTGCTTCAGGTGATCTATTTACACCAGACGAAAGAATAAGATCTCACGATTAATACTAACTAAAATACTGAAATGTATTTAAAAAAAAAACTCCGGCTTCATTAAATATTTAAAAATGTATGCAATTCTTTATGCATTCATCCAATAAGATTTCGATTGACTGGATCCTAGGTTAGGTTCAAGTAGCTTCCTGCAGCCAGGAAGGAGATACCTTTACTAAGACCTTTGTGATCGTATTTGATTTCCTTTCGCTAACATGAAAATATAATTATGCAGTATTTTAGTCAAGTAAAGAGCCAGCATTCGTGGAAGCCTATTTTAATGTTTTAGAGATAAACGCACAGCTGACAACAAAGTCATTACCAGCGCCACTTATACAATATTTTATTGCCAATTTTTCCATATTGAACTACGCTAAGATTAGTTTTGCTGTTAAACGCGGCCAGCAATAGAAAAATATCAGGTTTTTAACAAGCCAACAAATGCCCACCTTGCCCCAATTTCAGTCAACACATCCGCCTGGTCGTTCCTTGCTCACCTTTGGTGTCCTCACCTGTTGACAGAAGGCCGGCCCGAAAAATTTTTACTTGTATTCTCTTTTTAAAGTTGACATGAAGGCAGTCAGTGCCGTTTCTCACGTTTCGCTCGCTGGTTAACCGGCCGTCGATCGCAAAGGTAAAAAGTAGGCATCTAATAACACCTTTCACACGATCTGCTGCCAGGTTATAGCCGAGCTCACTTTGCTGGACAGGCTAACGAGTACCCGGTTTAACTGCAGATTTACAATGTTTTAAATGAAACTATTCACAATTGTTGTTTATCATCAAAGAAATATGAGATAATTAAAAAGAAAATTAAGATAATGGTATTCAGACGCAATATTTATGCATTTCCATGAACAACATAGACATTTCACACTCGTATCCAATGACAATAAAGACGCTTCACAATGCCATTCATATCATTCATTTATTAATCTTGCAGTTTTCGGTTCCATTCATCATGCCTTTTGCCGTTTTTCCGATATTTAATTTTACATGACACAAAATAAGGTTTAGGAATCTTTAATTATTAAGTAATTAGAGAGGTACAATCACCTTTACTAGCATAAATAAACGTTGAATCAAATATTTACAGTATTTTATTGTCTACAAAATATGTTGTCTTCTCATTGTCCTGTTCATAGTGTTTGTTCTAGCGATGAGGAGGTAACTTTTTTCGGTTGAAAAGAAAACGTCATTAGTTGCAGCCGTTTTTGGCGTGCTTTTGTGTACATAGCTTAAAGTGTAAAGTGTGATATTTTAAATCCAATGGCCAAATAACTTCTTTTCTGTATAAATACATACGATAACAGTCAGTTTCGGATCACTTCAGCGGGTCGCTTTATAATCATAAGGACCCACTCGCCACAGTTTTATATGTACACATACGCTCACGACAAAAAAAAACTGGCACAAAGATTTTTTCCAAATTTTTTGTTATAATTTTATTGTTCTTTCCGCTAATTTCTTATAAAAACATGGTTCATAACACAACAAAAATACATAAACATATAATTTCTAAACTTTTTGTCAAACTCAAGAAAATTCCATAAATGAAAAGGCATTTTTTTAGCCCATTCAGTTATAGTAGAATAAAATTGAAGTTTTAAGTTGCAAAAAAATCGCGTTGATTTTTTGAGAAGAAAATGGGTTGAAAACAATTCTAAAAATCCGACTAAAGAATGGAAAATTTATTTAACTTTTCTGAGTTTTCCACAAAGTTTAGAAATTATATTTTTATGTTTTTTGTTGTATGCAGTATGAATCCATGGTGAAATTATACCAGGTATAGTAATTAGAGAGAGAAGAAAGATTTGACACTCGAGATTGGCAAAATACGTGATTTTCTACGATTTCCAAATTCTGGATGATGACATTCCTTCTACCTGGAAAAGGGCAAAAACCCGTGCAACTTTTGACAAATTTAAATATGCAACAAATGAATCTGCAGAAGGAGTTTTTGAAAAAATTAATACGGAAATACAGATTTATTTGAAAAAATCGGAAAACAAAAGTTGTGACGATGTTTTAAAATTGTGGGAGAAAGCTAAAAATTTACCACTTCTTAGAAGTCTTTCAAGGCAAATTTTAAACATACCAGCTAGCTCAGCAACTAGTGAAAGAGTTTCTTCTGTGTTACGCAGAATTCTGGAAGAAAGACGTACACGACTGCTTGGTGAAAACCTCGACAAAATATTATTTTAAACCAAAAATATGAGCTAATGTCATTTCAAAATTACACACGTTGAATGAATATTGATACCAATTCTTTTTTACACTCGTATTAGATACATATGTAAGTATATCTGAAATTTGTTAAAATAATAATAGTGCCTTCAGCCCTTGCTAGGCGTTTGGCCAAACTTTTGTAATAATACTTGTGCGACAAAAGCCTATTTATATGAAATGCTATTTATATAAAAAATAAAAATGTCCGTGAGAAACATGCGTGAGCGCGCGTGACAGAAAAAATAGGCGTCGTCGGCGTGCATGAACGTGATTGAAAAAAATATAGCAAAGCGATAAACGTGAGCGTGCGTGAACGAGAGCCAAAATTACTCACGCGCCAATCTCTATTTGACACTATCTTATTTGAAAATTTCTATAAGATAGCTGAATCTCAAGAGAATAAAACGAGAAAGCTGTTTTATGACTTCACTTGTTTTTAATTTCATCATGGTATGAACCATATTTCTATGAAAAATTAGCAGAAAGGAAGCTGTTGCATATATTGTGAAACACTCTCTGTGCCAATAATTTTTGCCGTGCGAGTGTGTTTATCTTCTTTTTTTCCTCAGAACCCTCCTGCCTTTTATTTAATCGCACAAATTCGGACATTTTCATTAAATCAGCAATCACCACTTACATTTTACATTTCACTAAAGCAAGCAGAGCGAAATCCATAGTAGTAGTT